AGTCAGAGAGAAAAAGTAGTTGAACCAGAAAACAGCCAACAACTGGAGCCCCTAAAAAGTTAAAACAAACAGAAAACATAAAACCTTAATTCAAGAACTTCCCAGAAATTACAGAGGCCTTGAAAACAAAACTAACCCCAGAATGTGTTCCCACAGTGAGAGGGACTTTCCGATCAGGACTGCACCTCACCAAGGAAACGTCATTTCCGGGCACCAGATACAATGTATCCATTTCACAAAGGAAACATCAAGTTAGGTAAGACACACCTACCCGCTGATTTATGACGTTTTCCTATGTATTGTTACCGACGTTTAAGCTGCAACGTTTAAAGCAGAGCTCATGTAAAAGCAGCAGTTTGCAGGTGCTACCTGACTGCTGTAAAGGATTACTCTTGTGTCAATAAGCAAATGTTTCTGTCTATGCTTCCAGAGTCAGTCTTTGCCAGATTCCACCTCTAATCATCACTGCTCAAGTTACGAGGGCAGGCGGATAGGGAGGCGGGGTGGCACAGACTGAATGGACACGTTCAAAGAGCCCGCCAGGTTTCTGGGAAAATCGGCCTGCAGCAGTCAGCTGACACGCAGCCTAGTAATGCTACTGGACTTCAAAGATTAAAAAAGAAAGAAATCCTCAAGGGCTCTAAGCAAAAAAGGTCAGATAATTTGCAAGGTCAGGAGCACAGACTGGCCTCAGACTCTGGGGGCCCGGAACACTCGTCCCCCTTGCATCACCCACTGGAGGACAGGCTTCTCCCAAGCACAGGTGAGGAAGTCGCAGCAGCGGCCTGAGGGCGAGCGTGGACGCGCTAACGGCAGAGCTAAGACTAACGCAGGAAGCGGAAGAGCGTGGAAGGATAACACAGGAATCTTATCTGCTCCGCCAAAGAAGAAATAATACAGCTACAAACTGGCGAGAGAGGGGGAGGTCCCATTAAAAACAGACACACCAGTTATTAACGGCTAAGAAAATGGGAACACGGGCTTTAAAGGGGGATACAGCCAAAGGGAGCCACTAGAACAAATTTTAATACCAAGAGACATTTAAAAAATAAGCAAGCAAAGACAAATCAGAGAAAAGAACATATCAGATATACTAACATGATAATTATAAAAATACAATAATATGGCAGAGTTGAGCCCGAACTTTTCAGTCATTATCAATAAACGTAAATGGGCTTAAACCTTCTAACGTCAAACTTTCCTGTACATTTCCACGTTCTTTCCTGGAGACATTTGTAATTCTTACTACCTCGTGCCCCCTGTAAGTCTAGATGGATTCAAGAGGTCATGAATTAAAATGTTAGCAAAATAATGATGTGATTTTAAAAAAAGGGGGGAAGAGGTGCAGGAAAAATCCATGACAATAACTGAACACTCTGAAAGAGATTTGCCAAGGCATTTTCTCTCCACGAAGCTGCTGAGACAGAGCCGCCAGCACCATGCCAATCCTACCCAAGAGCCCTCCTGTCCACAACAGGAGACTATAGGCAGAGAGGAGAGAGGCTGGCCGCCTCGACCACCACAGGTGCCCACTGGCAGTCTCCAGTGTACAAGAGACGCCTAGGTCCCCTCGCACACGCCCAGATCCAGCACATAAAAGACGCCCAGATCCCCTCGTGCACATCCAGATCCAGCGCACAACAGACGCCCAGGTCCCCTCGCGCATGTCCAGATCCAGCACACAAGAGACGCCCAGGTCCCCTCGCGCACGCCCAGATCCAGCACACAAGAGACGCCCAGGTCCCCTCGCGCACGCTCAGATCCAGCACACAACAGACGCCCAGGTCCCCTCGCGCACGCCCAGATCCAGCACACAAGAGACGCCCAGGTCCCCTCGCGCACGCTCAGATCCAGCACACAACAGACGCCCAGGTCCCCTCGCGCACGCCCAGATCCAGCACACAAGAGACGCCCAGGTCCCCTCGTGCATGTCCAGATCCAGCACACAAGAGACGCCCGGGTCCCCTCGCGCACACCCAGATCAAGCACACAAGAGACGTCCAGGTCCCCTCACGCACGCTCAGATCCAGCGCTCAAGAGATGTCCAGGTCCCCTCGCACACGCTCAGATCCAGCGCTCAAGAGACACCCAGGTCCCCTCGCACATGCTCAGATCCAGCGCACAAGAGACACCCAGGTCCCCTTGTGCACGTACTTGGCATAGCCGTTCAGGCAGGCCTTCTGCATCGCGTCGATGGTGTACCGGAGAAACTCATGGGCATCCTCTTGGTTCCCAAAGCGGAAATGCCGGGCGATTTCTGCCAAAGGAAGAGAAGAAGCATCAGACTGGCAGGGAGATCTCGTGCTTTACCTGCCAACAACCCACTGCTGCTTTCCTTACCATCTCTCCCTGGCAGTCTCAAGTATACAAGAGTCCACCTTTTCAAAAAGCCGGGAAAACAAGAGCCCCATGTATACGGTGTAGGATCCAACTATAATTCATCAATTGCAGTTCTTTTTCTCAATAAGACCTGAGGGTTTAAAGACTCAGAACTTAACAGGACACAAAGGGCATCAGGAAGGTGAAATCCCCTGATTACTTTTCCAAAGAGCCGACACAGAACACAAATGGGCTGTAATCTACACAGGTTTCCGAAACCAGCTCACTTCTGCCTCTGCCAAGGAAAGGGGCACTGACAGCATGGCACCTGGAAACAGCCCTCCTGGGGTTCAAGGACCTGTCACACAGTTCTTACCCCTCTCTATCACCTCCCCTTCATCCATGTCAACCTGCCTACCTAATGCACACAACACATCCCTCTGCCTAGCCAAAATCTACCCGCCCTTCAAAGCCAAGGTCATGCCGGGCCTCCACAAACGACTCCCGCCCACGTGAGGCTCTGAATTACTATTCCTTTAGTCTGCACCACCAAATGTGGGACACAGGTATCACACAACAAGCTTACACACGCCTTCACGGAAGGATTCCTAAGACTCCATTCGCACCTCTCCCGCCTGCCACCAAGTCGCCAGCACCAAGGCAGAGCTCGGCGTTAAGTGATGGACTGATTCTTACTTTTCAGATCACGGATGAAGGAGACGGGCTTGATGGCGTTGCCGCTGTTGGCGAAGGCCTGGATGATGTGGTTCTGCATGACACACAGCATACAGAAGCCCCCCTGGTGACCTGCAGGTGGAGAGAGAGCTGATGACAACACAGCCCCAACACGACACAGAGAGACAGAAAAGCTCACGAGGGTAAACTCGTCTCCAGGAATGGCTGAGGCATTCCCAGACCCCTGAGGGATCACTGAGGAAATGCTTTTCTCTGCTGGGCAGCTCTCAGGGGCCGGGACTCATCCAGAACGGTGATCCTAACAATTGTGCACCATTACCCCGAGTTAACGGCTTTGAACTTTTCATATCCCATTAGTGTATGATTAACCAGTACCGACGAGTCCATTCCGACTCATGGCAACCCCGTGTGTCAGAGCAGAACTGTGTTCCATTGGGTTTTCAATGGCTGAGTTTTCAGGAGATCGCCAGGCACCTCTGGGTGGACTTGAACCTCCAACCTTTCAGTTAGCAGCAGAGCACTTCAGTTTGCACCATCCAGGGATGCCAGGATATATGTGTGGTATTAGGACCCTTATAATCAGTGAGTTTGACTTTCAAAATGAAGTTTAGAAAAATGTTTTCTCTAATTTCTACGTTCTGTCACATGGTCAGTAGGCTAGAGTATTTTAGGGCTTCCTGGCTTCCCCTTAGTTTGCTCCTCAAATGTGGGAGCCTCTGCTCTACTGGGTCTCACAGCACCCTGTGGCAAACGTTTTCTGGAAAGCACCAGGTCGTAACTATTTTCCGCTTTCAGGCCGTACAGTCTCACAACTACGCCACTCTGCCGCTAGAGAGCGAGCGCAGCCGCAGACGACTGGGCGTGCTGTGATCCAATCAAACTCCATTTACACACAGACAGCAAGCCGTAGTTTTTCCCAAGCCCTGCCATACATGAAGCTACTTGTTCCTCTTTAGGCATTAGGCTAGGCAGCAGGGCATTTTTAGCTTTTTTAAAATTATGAAATATCTTAAATATAAAGAGAAGTAGAAAGAATATATTATACCCTCACCCAGTTCTACCAAGTTTTAGGGTTTTTTTTTTTTTAAATAAAACATTGGTACAACAGTTGAACCCCCCTCTCTGAGTCAGTTACCCAGGTTCTTCCATCAGAGGCGCCCACTGTCCTGAAACAGGCTCGTATGGTTCCTATTGATGTATTTCCTGTACTAGGACACCTGCTACCATCCATAAACAATATATGGCAGTGTACTGCTTGTTTACAGACTCACGATACATAAACTACCATGCGGTCTGCATCATGCAGCAACTTGCTTTTTTTAAGCCCGTGCTGCTAGATGTAGCTCTAGTTCATTCATTCTCACGGCCTGAGTATCTCCAGGATGAACAGATCGCGGTTGATTGATTTCTCCCCGCTGATACACATTTAGCCTTTTTTATGCTCCCACAAGCCATGCCGCGGCGCTCAGGTACCTGTCTCCTTGTGCACACATCGGAGTCCCGCTAAAGTACACACCTAGGGGATAAACTTCTGGTTCAAAAGGCACGCACAACTCTGCAAGACCCTGCTGTCTGGACATGTGACAGCACGCTACCTTTTCAAATGGATCCACCTCACGACACACAATTCAACACGTATCGGTGATTCCCCATCAATACCTGTAATTAGCTGGTTACTCAGACATATCCTAAAATCAATAATGGAATTTCTTGTAGTCTGTTTACCAGATATGCATAAAAATGCTAGTATTTACACCAAAAAATTCTTCTTGGACGGATATCAAAAAACCATTCACGTGATTAGTTTATCATTAAGGGGAGGCTTTTCTTTCATTTTAGACTTTTCTAAGCGTATGCGCTTGTTGCTTTTATTTTTTAAACAACAGCGTTTGAGAGGAGGCTCAAACTTCGGCAAAAAACTAATACACGTTATTTAAAATAAGGCATAAATCTTGACTAATGTGAAATAACCGAACAGAGCTCCTGTTTTCAAGCGCATCTAACTCCGGCTCAGATACTTACTATACAAGTTTTGGAGAAACAAATGCACTGATCACAGTGAAAAACACTGCCGGCCTTCAGCCTGCTGAGCGCCACTCTTAAACAGGGCCAGCAGCAGCTTACGCCAGAATACCTGACACAGGACTTGACAAATCCCTGGCAGCATACAAAATTAATTTAGAGGCCACTTGGACAAATACTTTCTTCATGTAATTTAGAAAAATCTAACTCACCCATTAAATCTATCCTTTATGAATATTGTTACTTATATAAGAAAGTGAAAAAATTGAGTTGATTTAAACAAAAACTTCAGTAAATAACGTAATTATACACAACTGACTGCAGTTTGGGAACAATGCACAGTGAAACCCGTGAGAGCCGCAACTCGACAGGACTGCCTTGTTTCTCCAGGTCTCCGGAAGTTTTCTGCCTTTGACAGGGTGCGGTCTTACCACTTTTCTATTAGTGGAAAACAGCTGAGTTTTCCTTCTCTCACAGGTTTCTGCCTTACATAGGTTCCAGCTTCCACAGGTCTCACTAAAGTAAAGGACAGGATTTAATTTCGTGTTTCTCCTGGACTTTTTGTACACAGAGTGTTTACTTTTAGCTAAGTATTGGTGGCCAGAAGTGGCCTGGCACGTGGAGGCGTTGGTGCTCCATGCTGCATGTACAGCAGAGCCCTGTCATGCTCAAGGGGCCATCTCAGGACACAGGAGCATCTTCCAGCCGCGTATTCCAGGAGGAAGAGAGGACAGGGTAAGCCCACTCAGAAATCAGTGTGGGGACACGGGCAAAATAGTAACACGGCTCTTCATGTGGCTTTCTCTAAAAAAGTTAAGAAATTAAGGTGTGCTGCTAGTGAGCACAGGGTTGGCACTGGCGTCCTGAGCGTCCACGTGCCAGGCAAAGTGGATTTACAGCTCTCACCTGGTTTTACCTACGCGAACCCTCACAAGCTGACAAATGGCTCAGTGAGATCCTAACAGAGAAAGCGAGACTGGAAGACAGCTCCGTGACGGAAGCAGAGCGAACACGCCAACGGCAGGGCAGACAAACCGACTACTTGCAGGACCTTATCCCAACATCATGAGATAAAACTGTCATCTCGTCCAGTCTTACTGCAAGTCTTACTTACAAATCTTCCTACTCACAACAACCTCCAAATTAACACGGTGATTATTTGAAATAGGCATTCATAGTCACCAATATGAACAACGAACTTCATCTTAAAAGTGTGCACTGTGTCTTCGGACATTAACCTTTGCTGCTATGAAGCCATTACAGTTAGCAACACATTTAAAACATCACTTGTCTTGTCTCCACTGTGTGGCCACCTTTTATTCTTTCTTTTTAAAAAGATATAACTAATATCCCTGAATACATCATAAATCCAAAACTTCATCAACAAAGAGATTCCTAAGTTCCCCCTCATCTCCCACCCCCCGTCTCCTGCCCTACCCTGATTTTTAATTGCTCGTCATTTTTCACTCACGCTCCCTTTTTTTAGTTTTATCACAGATCTGTATACCTAAATATTGTCTTGTGTTTCAACTTTATAGACAGGAATTCAGGCTGTCTGCAGTCTTCCGCGGCCTTTTTGCTTCACTCAACGTTACGTGATTAAGATTGGTACATGCAGCTGTAACTCAGTCTGCCTCACTGCTCTGGGATATTCAGTGTGACTAATTCACACATCTATTTTTCTGTCAATAGGCATTTGAGCTGCTTACAGTTTTTTGCCATAGACATTTTTTGCATGGGTTTCCTGGTATCCATGTCTAAGAGCTTTTCCAGAGGAGTAGAAATGCTGGGTAATATGTGATTGGAAAGAGAATGCCAAATTATTTTCCAAAGCAGCCCAGCAGCATAAAAAGAATCTCACTGGTCTTCATCCCAGCGTCGTCAGGCTTTGGAATTTTTATCCACCACGGAGGTGTGAACTGTATCCCACTGTGGTTCTGGCTGCGTTTCCCTGACGACTAGCGAGGCTGAGCATCTCTTCGCGGGCTGCTGACAAAAGTCTCCTGAAAAATGCCTGCTCACAACGTTTACCTATTTTTTCAACAGGTGGTTCTCCTTTCCTCGCGGATTTGTAGCTCTTTATATATTCTCAATACCAATCCTTTGTTGTTTGTATGTGCCACAGATACCAACCCCATTTATAGATGGTCTTTTAATTTTAAATACTTTTAGAGACAAATGTTCTTAATTTTAATGCAGCTCAATTTATCAATTTTTTCTTTTATGGTTTAACATCTTCTGAGTCTTAGGAAATCACTCACCCCAAGGTTGGAAAGAGACTTAACTATGTTTCTTATAAAAGCTTTGCTTTACTTTTGATATTAATTCATTTGAGGTTGATTTTTGTGTATGCCATGAAATGGGAATCCAGTTTAATTTTTTTCCCATATAGAAAACCAAATTTTTTAAGTTCTGTTTATTTAAAATGGCAGATGCACATATATGTGAAAACTTGATCTGCAACGCATTTCCAATACACGTGGGTTTGTTTCTGTGCTCTGTTCTCGATTTCACTGGCCAGTGGGTCTCTCCCGCATCCAATGCTATCACATCTAAATTTCTGTAACTGAACAAGAAGTGTTTATCATTTCTAGGGCACATCCGTTCTCGTTCTTCTTTCTGAGAAGCGTCTTGGCTATTTCTGGTCCCTCTGCTTTTCTTTTCCATACAACTTTCAGAATCAACTGCAGCCACATTAATCTACATATTAATTTGGGGAAAACTGACATTTTCATAACATTCAGCCTTCCCTCTGGAAAGAGAACTACTCTCCATTTATGCAGGCACTGTTTCGTGTCCTTGGTAAAGGTTTTCACATTGTTATCTGCCATGGAGCTGGCCCCAACATACGACAACCTTCTGCACAAGGGAAAAAAAAACAATGGTGCCCAGCCCCGTGCCGTCTGCATGATGGTTGGTGTGTCTGGGTCCACTGCTGCAGCTATTATGTCAATCCATCTCATGCAGGGTTACCCTCATTTCCACTCACCCTCTGCTTCACCAAACATGACGTCCTATTCTAATGATCGGTCTTTCCTGATGACATATCCAAAGTAAGCAAGTCGAAGTCTTGCCATTCTCGCTTCTAA